AACCCCCTGCTCAGGCAGGAAACCCTATACCATTTCGGACAAATGGCTGTCCAGTCTCTTCTTAAAAACTTCCAGTGTTGGAGCATTCACCGCTTCTGGAGGCAGGTTGTTCCACTGGTTAATTGTTCTCACTGTCAGGAAGTTTCTCCTTAGTTCTAGGTTGCTTCTCTCCTTGCTTAGTTTCCACCCGTTGCTTCTTCTCCTGCCTTCAGGTGCTTTGGAGAATAGGTTGACTCCCTCTTCTTTGGGGCAGCCCCTGAGATATTGGAAGACTGCTATCATGTCCCCCCTCGTCCTTCTCTTCATCAAACTAGACATACCCAACTCCAGCAGCCGTTCCCTATATGCTCTAGCCTCCAGTCCCCTAATCATCTTTGTTGCTCTTCTCTGTACTCTTTCTAAAGTCTCAACATCTTTTTTACATCGCGGTGACCAAGTTGATTAACACTGCTGCAAACAAAGTGATACGTAGGAACTGGCAGTGGAAAAAAATGAAACCTCGATTTGTAACGAGAGACCCTGTGTTCTTCACTGTGGCCACAAAATATAGGTAGTCCTTGACTTACAACAGTTCATTTAGTGACTCTTCGAAGTTATAATTACACTGAAAAAAGTGATTTATGACCATTTTTCACACTTACAACCGTTGCAGCAGCCCAATGGTCATGTGATCAGACTTCAGACACTTGGCAACTGACTTGTATTTATGAAGATTGCAGTGTCCGGGGTCGTGGGATTCCCTTTTGTGACCTTCTAATGAGCAAAGTCAATGGGGAAGCCAGATTCACTGAACAACCGTGTTCCTAACTTAACGACTGCAGTGATTCACTTAACAACTGGGGCAAGAAAGGTCGTAAAAGGGGGCAAAACTCACAACTGTCTTGCTTAGCAACAAAAATTGTGGCTGTAGGTCGAGGACTACCTGTATCTGCAGTTTCACGGAATAAGCAGTTCATACAATAGCGAATTAAACTATTCGGTCATTTGAGGATTTAGAAGTCTGCATTGCAGCACGTTCATGCTTGGCTAGTTTGAATCCAGTGATGTTTGCACACTCACCCGTTGTGTGTATGAGTTTTAGAAAGTTGTGCAAACTCATCTAGGCTTGGTTAATGTGTCTTTCGGCGTATTGAGCAAACACAGACAAATGGATTAGTTCAGGATTCAGATAATGGCAATTGAATCAAATCAAATCAAACTATTTATTTTGGCCGTTGAGCACTACATTACAATCAACTTAACGATTTGATTAGAACAAAAGAGTCAAAGAGTAGAATAAAAACATTCATTTACGCTAATAAGACTAAAAGAACAATTGTTAGTACTGATGCGACCACTCTGTAATTCCCATTTATATCTATTTTTCTAGTGCAAATTGGTAGTTGGATCCAAAAGCCACAAACTGAGAAAAAAGACTTTAAAATACCTGTTTGTGAAACTGAAGTTGCTTATGTCTATTGTGATTACTATTGCTTGACAAATGGGCAGCCATAAAAATCAAATCAAATCAAACATAACCAAACAGGGTGGGCTCCTACAAGGCACCAAGCCATTGTGTCACTAACCCAGATAAAACTAACCATGATTAGTTATGCCAGCGCAGCTAGTAAAGAAGCAGAATTTTCAGGCAACTAGCAATATTGTTTGATATTTGAATTGTAGTAAAACATCTCCCTCTGCTGTTCAAAAAAAGATGGTTGTGTTTCTCAACCTTGGAAACTTTCAGATATGTGGACGTCAACTCCCAGAATTCCCCAACAAGGATACAGGGAGTCCTCAACTTACAACAGTTCATTTAGTGACCATTCAAAAGTACAACGGCACTCGAAAAAGTTACTTATGATCGTTTTTCACACTTACAACTGTTGCAGCATCTCCATGGGCATGTGATCAAAATTCAGATGCTCGGCAACTGACTCATATTTATGACAATTGCAGTGTCTCGGTGATCCCCTTTTGCGACCTTCTGAGAAGCAAAATCAATGGGGAAGCCAGATTCACTAAACAACTGTGTTACCAATTTAAGAACTGCAGTGATTCACTTAACAACTGTGAAAAGAAAGGTTGTAAAATGGGGCAAAACTCACTTAGCATTAGAATTGTCGGCCGGAATTGTGGTCGTAAGTCAAGGACTACCTGTACTTTAAGATGGATGGACTTCAACTCCCAGAATTCCCCAGTGAGCATACTTTAAAAGGGTTGGACTTCAACTCCAATTCCCCTCTAAGCATATTTTAAAATGGGTGGACTTCAACTACCAGAATTCCCCAGCCAACATGCTTTGAGATGCGTGGACTTCAACTCCCATGCTCTGTGGGGAATTCTGGGAGTTGAAGTCCACTCATCTTAAAGTTGCCAAGGTTGAGAACCCCTGCCCTCCACCTTCTCATTCAGTCCACTGAGGTTGCTTCTGTTTGCAAGTGAGAGAAGAGAATTGGGGGGAATTCTCATAGTGGATTGTGGCACCAACTACCACCCCAGGTCATGCTCACCTCATCTCCAGATCAAGCCAGAGGGAATAGTCTCCCAACACAGTCAATCAAATAAAAATTAGCTGAGGCATTTGCATGGCAAATGGCTAGGCTTAACCCTGGTTCATTGTTCTGCAGCTTGGCCAGTTTGGTTTCATTTGAGGCCAGAAAACAGATTATAACTAGCAACCAGGTTAAATGTGTCGTGTGAATGCTGCTAGTGTGTTTGGCAAGGTGGGGGTGGAGGATGGAAAGGGAACAAAAAAGTCTCTTTCAGTTTGCATTCGTCTTACCCTTAGGCTGTTTTCATTTCAGAAATCCAGGAGGAAGAGGTACAGGCTGTGGAAGATGGGGTTTTTGATGAGAAGCTATGAGACCGGATCAGCTCAGCAGAGGGCCTGGAATCGAAGCAAGAGGTAAGGATTGCAAGCAATTATTGGGTTCCTCCCCTGTTCTGTCTGAGACATTTTCTCAACTTACTTCTTGGCCTGGCTCAAGCCCCTTTGCTGACCATTACTTGCAGTCGTTCAAGGCTATTTCCCATGCCTACTACATCCTTAAGACATTACAGGGAGTCCTTGACTTACAACAATTCATTTAGTGATCATTTCTCACACTTACGACTGTTGCAGCATCGCCATGGTCACGGGATCAAAATTTGGACTCTTAGCAACTGATTCATATTTATGACGGTTGCAGTGTCCCGGGGTCATGTGGTCCCCTTCTGACAAGCAAAGTCAATGGGGAAGCCAGATTCACTTAACAACCGAGTTACTAACTTAACAGCTTTAGTGATTCACTTAACAACGGGGGCAAAAAAGGTCATAAAATAGGGCAAAACTCAAAATATGTCTCACTTACCAACAGAAATATTGGGCTAAATTGTGGTCGTAAGTCGAGGACTACTTGTACTGCTACCAGTACTTCAGGTAGTCCTCAGAACCATGTCGGGTACTGAAATGTTTGTCACTAAGAATGTGGTTAAGTGAGAAGTTAAGTGAGAAGCCGCCCTGAGTCCCGTTGGGAGAAGGGCGGGATATAAATCAAAACAAACAAATAAATAAATAAATAAATATTCCACTCTCTACGGCCTTTTTGCTTGAATTGTCGAGCAAATCGCCATGCTGTTAAATGAATTATGTGGTCGTTAAGCAAACCTGGCTTCATGGTCACGGGATCAACATTTGGGCCCTTGACAACTGGCATGTATTTATGATGATTGCAGCATTCTGGGGTTTCCTGATCGCCATTTGCAAAATTCCCAGCCAGCTTCCAACAAGGAAGTCAATGGGGGAACAGCTGTGGCAAAAAAAATTTAAATTGGACATGACTTACTTAAAGACTGCATTGCTTACCCACGGGAGTTGCGGTCCCAATTGTGGTTGTAAGTCAAGGACTACCTGTAATTGGAGATACTGAATCTTATACTTTCAGCTTAACTTCTTGTGGTTTGTCTTCACAGAAACACCTCGTCCTTCTCAGTGACCCCAGTCGGTCTGCCAGTGAATCCTCGGCTCTTCTGCGTCCCCCTCCCCTCTGAATGAAGTGGGGCGTGTGCTTTGGGGGATGGGGCCCCTCCATTTTGAAAACACTTTGGCAAGGGTAATCAGGAGATGTTTCTGCCCCAGCCCAAAGCCTTTTAGAAACGTGTGTATATTTGTATCAAGAACTGGATTCAAAGATGTAATGATAATTAGAATAAATTTGACACCTGCTCCATACCTCTGTCCCTCCTTAAATTTTCTGCTTTGTGGTTCCCCAATTTCGTAGGTTTTTTTTTTTTTTTGGCAAAAGGTTTTCACTCCTGAAAGGAAAATAAAAATGCTTTAGGCATCATAGATTCATACAGTAAGAAAGGATAACAGAGATCATCTGTTCCACCACCCCCTCTCAGTGCAGAAGCCAATGCAAATAACATATTTTGCAAAAGAAAGGGCTGAATTAGGAAAAGGATTGCCCCCCATCTAGTCATGAGGCTGGAGGGCTCTGCCCTTGATTGCTGAAAAATGAGTCTGAAAATTCTGTTTTTGTTCCACAGTGTTTTAAAAATGTCTCTGGTTGTTCTCAAGGTCAGAAAATTGGATTAGTTAGGGAGGCTAACCCAGACAAATCTTTACCAGTGATTCTGCCAGCACAGTGTCACGATTTAACCTCCCATTCCCCATCCTGTAATGAATGTGAAAAATTAATTTAGGAATGATCTGACTCCCACTATAAACTCAGCCAGTCACTAGCTGAGTTCAGTCTCCGTAGCACACAAACCCTGTAACTGGGTCAAGGAATTTGGGAATCACAAACTCCCCCTGTGGCTTCTCTAGTTCTTGGAGCAAGATTACACCAATTAATATCAGCATTTCTCAACCTTAGCAATTTTTAAGATGCGTGGACTTTAATTCCCAGAATTCCCTAGCCAGCATTGCCAGGGTGGAGATTTTTGGGGAGTTGAAGTCCATACATCTGAAACTGCTTTACTCAAAACACCCTCCTTGGTTTAGAACAGTGTTTCTCAACTTTGGCAACTCTAAGAAGGGTGGACTTCAACTCCCAGAATTCCCCAGCCAGCTGCTGTTGTATGTCACTCAAATCCCAAAGTCACCTTTAATCCAGTTCCTTAACTAACCTGTATATTCTTGAACTGCCTGTAAAGTAACCCTAAAAAAAGTTGTGTCAGGGAAAAAAATAACCCAGGTTGACTCCAACCAAGCTTAGTGTGTGAGTGCAATCATAAGGATCTTATCCTGGTTGGGCCCGTTGTGTGAACACATCTCCAAATGTGGTCCTCAGCCCCTCGTCCAAGTTGCACATCTATTCCCGGCGCAGACAGTACAGAGAAAGCAGTACAGGTAGTTCTCGATTTACAACCAAAATTGAATGCAACATTTCTGCTGCTAACCAAGATAGTTGTTAAGTAGGTTTTCCTCAGTTTTACAAACTTTCTTCCCACAGTTTTTAAGTGAATCACTGCAGTTATTAAGTTAGTAACAGGGTTGTTTAAATCAGTGGTTCTTAACCTTTTTGAACGAATCGCCCCCTTGAGCCAATGAGGAAGTTGTCATCGCCCCCCTCCCCCAACATAACCTCTCAATCACAACTTTGCAATACTGCAGACCTCTTAAAATGTGAAATGAATTTATATAAACTTTCATTTCTCTCCCCCAGAATAAAGTTAATAATTTTGTGGATGTGAGG